TCTCGAGCGATCAGTTGCCCAATCCGCTAGACATGAGGATACAAAAGTTCAAGCTAATCTGGCAATGTATGTCATCGGCGATGTACTAATGGGTCCACTCCACTGGAGCGCATCCTCGAAGTTCATTTCACACAGATGAAATGTAGCATTAATTTGTTGAAAAATCATGAACGAGGTCTTATGGCGCATGCGCGCGTGTGTCCTTGACGCAATTTTTGCGTCGTGGTGGCATCACCATGTGGAGTACGCGCTTTTTTTTACGAATTCTGCCATAAAATACCCTCGCCTTCAAATGACCAGAAATTGTGCAATTGCAGAAATTGACGTGGCATTGGCACACGTGGCTAAATTCTCGATGAAAAGGTGACATCACGTGTGCTCAAAGATGTTCTTGAATCGATGCCACGTTAATGCCACGTCAATTTCTGCAATTGCACAATTTCTGGTCATTTGAAGGCGAGGGTATGGGTAATGCGCTTCGAAATGCCCACGTTTTCAGACAAGAAAGTAATGCGCGGTAATTGCAAAGCGCACGGTTAAACAGCGATTATCTGTTCTTCTACTCGTTTTCTATTGCCTGGGGTGAAATTGATTTATTTAGTTTTGACGTCGTGTTTGCTTTCAGTGTAGCTTTTTTTTTTGTTCGCCGTGTTGACAAGACCTCAAAGTCCCCGCACTTAGCAGCTGTTTGATGGCTGAAACTTCCCGCATGTATTCATTAAAAGCTGATAAGAAATTTAGTCTCGTGATGAAGACAAAACAACTGAGCACGGGAATGAACCCTTCTTATGGCTCTGGCTGGCTTTCTTAATGGAGGATAAGCAAACCCAAGGAATGTATAGATGGAAGCTGCGCGTATTTTGGCTAGTGAATACAGATTCCCCGCAACGAGAGTGTCGCAAGCTGCAGACTTAGTTGTTCAGTGACATTCAGACCAGCATCCAAAGTGTCATAAAGATCAATCACTCAGCTCTCGGCTCGGTGCAGGTCAGGAGGTATCACGATGTATACTACCCTGTTTCAGAAAACCAGAACAGCTTCGAGTGCAGACCACACACCACAAGTGACGTCGGCTCCACAAAATGTAAGTGATTTCTGCCGATGGAACGACTAGCCAATTGCAGTTGTATTTTATCGGTTGTCACGAATTACAAGCATTATTAACCAACTATCAGCTATCATCATGAATCGTATCCAGGTGTTAGTTTGGGCCGTCGTCAACTGTGTTGTGGTGTGTGGTCTGCACTCGACACGCGTCATTTTTAATTTTCTGAAACGGAGGGTACTTTATGTGCTACAGTAATCATAGTTTCTGCAGGGAAGAAGCTCCACGTGCGGTGGACCAACGCAATTGGGCAAATAGGAAATTACAATGGCATCAACTCTCTACGCGTTACTTGATATGGAAGTGGTTCTTGGTTGTTTGAGATGCATTAGACTCTCTGGTTCCTTCCTCTGAACACATTTGAGCCCAGTTTTCTGAGACTGTCGTGAAATGTGTTGCGCCCGCGATTACGTTCTCGTTCCGCTGTGCGAAACACATTCACGCCTGACAAGGTAACTTTATGACTTTCCTTGATGCGTTCAGAAACTACATATCAAGAATACTGGTCAGTTGGAAAAATGACCACTCAAGCAATAAAGCTACGCAGCACATTCCCACCCCTTACTGTATAAGACTCTCCAATTTTACATTACAAGACGCATCTGGCCCGTGAGGGGGTGGAGCACTCGAATCTGTGTGATATATCATAGACAAAAGAGGCGGTAACACCGAGATCACCGACTGGCACCGTAACCTAAAATATACGTCGATGAATCGTGAGCCACCGTAAATACACGCACCACACGGGAATCGGCGCGAAAGCTCCCGATCAAATGTGATGCACACTTTTGGTCAGAGATCTTCTACACGATAAATTCCATGGATTGCTGAAGTCTCGTCAGAAATACTCTAGTGATGTCTCAGCCTGAGCAACCGGTTTTCCCGCAAGATGCTCCTCAAATGGACATAGCTGTTGTAGAAAAGGTACTGTTCATACTTTGAAACATTTTTTTGCCTCTCAAAAATGATTTGATCAGTTATTGAATTGCAGATAGCACGCTTTGCCCTTAATCACACCTTATTGCTACCTGGAAATGACGAAAAAAGCTAAAATAGAATTGGATTTGGAAGCTTTGGGGTTGACTTCGCAGGAATTCGAACCGTTGGTGAGTTACAACTTCATTATTTTCCATTTCTTATCTTGATGTGTAGTAAATTCGGAGCAATGCTTTTCTTGTTGCTAGTTGTTCATTCTAAGCTTCAAATTCTTTTTTTTTCAGCTGGCATTTTTCACTGATTTGTGGAGATATCTGATTTACCATCGACTTGGTGGGCAGTCACTATCGAATGTTTTGAAGGTTGCCCTTTAATAATGCTATTTAATATTGTCTTATTGTTCGTAATTTGTGATGTGATTCTATCTCTCAGTTATTTACAGTCCTCACTTCCTCTTCCTTACATTGATCTCGTTGCGGCTATCTGGTACTCGGATGGACCATCCGTTTATACTCACTTAGCTCGTCGCACGGCTTCGGACAAGGCTCGAGTGCAGGATATCTCGTGGAGTATTTGGACTCAAACAGCGAGGTTAGTGACTTCACAGATGGTGATCCACCTTAAGATAGATAGATAATACAGTGGAAGTATCAGAAGTCAAGTTTCCCCTCTAGCCTGAGGATACCCTTAGGCGAGCACAAAGAAGCGTGATAAGCCCAACTGAGAGCTTTCAGTTTATTTGATTTGATTTCTTCAAGTCCAACAATTGTTTGGAAGAAATGGTTATATGAATTTGGGGTGGCTTATTAATGACATTATAATGAAAATGAAATGGTTTATTTATATTCATAACGGGACCCCAATCATGAAGATCAGATAAAATGTTAGGGTCGAGACGGACCGCAAGAACGACTCTGTTTCCCAGATGAGCTGTCGCGAATTGAAAGATCGGACTTTACCAATGTCACATCAGCGAACTTAGTGTTTAGAGGGGTGATTTTGAGAAACAAAAACCTTGATCACTTGATGAAGTATTTGCTGGAATGGAGACACGGTGTTTTTCATTTCACTCAATTTATGGTTGGGGGTTCTTGCAGTCTTCGATCCTATTCTTTTGTGTTAGTGTGCTGTTCTTCATTTTCCGCGCCTCCACCCCCCCCCCCCAAAAAAAAACGCAACAAATTACAGTGCATCTATCGGATTCGCGATTTTTCAATTCGATTTGCGAGAGTATAGCCCAAACTACTTCTCTCTTGTGCTGCCATCGCCCATTCTATTGGGTTGATGCATAATTATTGCGCTTTTTCCAACAGATTTTATTCAGCGAAAACGACAAAATTATTCAACAAAAACATGTTTAAATAATAACCCCGGAGCGTGGTCACCATCCCACAAGAATGCTTCCCATTTGCTTTTCTCTCGGTGATTCCACGGATAAAAAAGTCACGATTCTCGGAGACGATCCACGCTCTAACACTGGCCACCAACGCATCCAGCTCATCCTAAAATTTGTTCGTTTGCCAGTTTTTCAACGTCTGATTGAATTGCTAGTCTGTAGGAGCTCCGCTCGGTAGATGTGGCGTTTTAAACTTCTTGAACGATCCTTCGTCTTGGGTTTTGCTAATTGCTCCCTCGCTGAGAAGTTTGATGAGATCGCGGAATGGCCCCGCCGCCTTCTAACATTTATAGAAGTAGTAAGCATGTGTGGTGAAGATGAGGACAATTTCCGATAAGCATTTCTGTTAATGGAAGAAAGAAGAATATTCTCATGAAAAAAACAGAAACTCAAACAATCTTCTTCGAGAAAAAGAACGCGCGAAAAAAGCCGCAATAATTATGCATCAACCTAATAGGTTTTCCTGCTCAGCCCATAAAATGAAATCGATGTCTAAGATTTCCAACGATTTTTTTCTGCAATTTTCGACTCTCGATTAACCTCGGCATATTGATGGTTGAATGATATGCTTGTTGAACTGCACACGAGATTGTACTGCCAGTTTATTGGCTAACTCTTCGGATTTTTAGTGCTCTGAATTTTCCATGTCATAAATTAACGTCCTGTTATGGTTCTAGACATTTTCTCGTAGACAATCAGTACATTTAATCTGCAAAATATTAGCACCATTCAGCATATTTGAATTGTCCACACTCTAAAACAATCTAAATTTCCCGATAAAATACTTTCTGAATTTTATAGCTCAACGGATTTTGAGTAGAATTTCGAAGTTCATTGAGACTGCAGTTTTGCTAGAAATTTGACCCTGACCGACGCATCAAAGCAATTATATTACGCTTTTGTTTTCGTTATTTCATCCCTGAATTTCATTGTCTTACTTTGATTGAAGTATTTTTAGTGATTATGCTCTTGATAAGAGTGGACAGCATGGAATTCGACTGAATATCGTAACTGATAAAGGAACAAAATCTGTGTTTCTCACTCCATCTCAAGTCGCCAATCTTCACAAGGAAACCGTTCGGATACAAACGGAAATAGATAAGTTGCTAGAATAGGCCCAAATGTTCACCTTTTGTCACCTCTCAGATTGCAACGAAGGAAAATGGCGGTCTTGTAATTGTGTATGTGTAAACAAGAAATCGTTCACCGACGCCGTTAGTCGCGGCGGCGAGAAATTGTTGTCGGCCTCGTGGCCTAATGGATAAGGCGTCGGACTTCGGATCCGAAGATTGCAGGTTCGAGTCCTGCCGGGGTCGAAATTTTGCAAACATTCGTAAATTGCTGTTTCGCTTGATTGTACCTGGGTTCGCGATCTAGATGCAGTTATATTAATTGCGCTATCTTTGGAAATGCAGAGCATATACGGGCTGATGATTTGTGCAAGTGTATCCTTATCAGTGTAGTTTATGCGTTTTTATTGATAGCCATAAAATATGGGCTGGTTAGTTTTGTTGTGGTGGCGACTTAGTAGTTTATAGTCTCTTTATTTCATATAACTTATGCTGTTTGTCGCCTGGATGTCTAACTACAAATTAATCGGCAATCATTTTACAGATGTGAATATCGTTTTAATGGAAGCACTTGTTTAATCGCTCCAAATTGTGCTAGATGTCGTGGTGACTTAGGCGGAATGGTGGCGCATTTGGTTTTTATGGTATTATGGCTCCCACAGATACTTGTAAGTATAAGTTTATCACGGCTGCAAAAGGCGCACGTACAAAAAGAACAATTGAGTGTTTCCACGCATACAAAGAAGAGTGTGCTTATAAAAATTCCAATACAAAATAGTTAACGTTGGGTTCAGTCTCACAAAACTATGACTCTTGATTTCCAATAGTATGGTGTCTGAGCCTGTGACCGAGTAATCGGTAGTTTTTTTTTGCAAAGCTTATATAGTCACTACCAGCTCTTTATATATAGCTCTTATCGCGCAGATTAGTTTCAGGCCGCGCTAAGGATACTCCTTCATGTTAGCTATTGGCTTACAAGGTTTTATTCACCTTTACGAAGGTGTTCAGTTAGAGAATGCATAGAGTAGAATTTAGGGTATCGGCCTCTCTGTCCACACTTACTCGGTGTCAGAGTCCGCGATCCGTCCGCAGGTTTCGCTGATTTTCGCGATTTGCGCGATTCACGCGACGGATCGCAAAAATTGCAAGTGTGTGAACATTTGAAACACTGAATATGAAACAAGTGGAATCATGAGCAGTCGTCATTCAGCCATCACTATCAAGCAGAAGTGGCGGCAGGATTGGAGAACACCTTGCAGTATTGATCGGGCACTTGTGATTTCCGTGACCCGTCGCGTGAATCGCGCAAATCGCGAAAATCAGCGAAACCTGCGACGGATCGCGGACTCTGACACCAGCCTAAGATTTAGTTGATGGCACACAATATCAAGGTACGATTACATATGAACCATTGTAGTCCTAGGTATACTTGCAGAGAGTGCCTGGGTTTCTAGGTGGATTACGAAAACCTGATTCAAAAAAAAATCGTCTTTTTATGAGCGTTCTAAACATTTCGAGAGAGCACTGAGAGATTGGGTAGAAATCAAAGAAGATCTTGTTTTGCATGTTGCTGCTTTACGAAACGCTTTATAAGAAATCAAAGTTGCTTAATCGTGTGCCGTGGTACAAATATAGTGAAAATTTTTATTACAGCTCCACTAGAAGTCAAAATTCTTGGAATTTGATGGTTTTTATAAGACTATTGTAGATATAGGTAACTAATTGATTGTATTTTGGAAATGATGGCTGATCATAATTCATAAATCTTTAAAATTACCTGATTCGATTACCCTAGGAAGTTCTCATTGGGGCGATCACAGTCAAAATAACTACGAAAAATATTCGAATTGAAACGTCACAATTCCTTGACTACCATCTGTTATTTCCCGTTGTTATTCAGGAACCATCGCATCATATACAATACAGCCGGTGGACCTGTCGGCGTTTCTGCACGGAGGAATGACGGTATGGCCGAGCACGGCAAAGAGAACTAACATTTCTTATTAAAATGAAAAAAAAAAACAAAAAGGGGTACTGAAGTTTAACTCTTTTTCTACAAACACGATCTGGGACGGCGTGATATCTTCTGTAAGCTCTCCACGAAGTGTTATTCAGCAGTGGCTTACGTTCGGCGGGCGTTGCTGCTGTGGTTGTCCCACTAATGGGTTTCGGGCAGGGTCAACTATTTCAAAGGGTAGCAAGGGGGTGTATTTTGATGATTGGGAGAGGGGGTGGTATTGCTTTTGATTTAAGAAGTTGCATGAGATGAGTGAGGGTGGTGCGGTGAGACGAAAACTTTTGACGTTTCATTCCCCCCCGCTCGACGGCATTTTTGGAGGAAAAAGTGGGCGGGGTTTGGTGGGTCGAGTGATACCAGAATTGAAATACTATAGCGAGGAATATGGTGGTCGAGGGTCGAGAAGGGGGTCGTACCAAATCCACCTTTGGGGAGGGGGGTCGTAAAATTTTTCGAAAAGTAGCAACGATAGGGACCGACCAGCTCCGGAGGTGGTCTCGAGACCTGACTAAGTTACGGGTAGTGCGGCCTTCCTTGGTACGGCGTGATGAACCGTTTATGTACTTGTATATTGCGTCGGGTGCGCTGAACTGGCTTGTTGCGACGAGCTCACAAACCTTGCATTGAGGAGATTTGTGCGTACGGGGTTAGGACGATTTCAATGGCGTCAAGTGAATTGTCGAACAACTGGGAGAAAGTTTTTGTTGAAGGACGTACTCTTTTTAATGTCTTGGTTGATCTTTGCAGGTGCGTCGGAGACTTTCTTCACATATTGAGGGGTGGTTGGCGCGGAGACGCGGCGAGTTGGTTGTGGGGTCCGCCCTGCGCGGTAAAACTGGAAAAGCGCTCCGCAGCCGGTTCGCCGGGGCACCTTGAGTGAAAGCTCACCGCAGCACACCCATGTTGGAAGAAAGTTGTGTGCGTTTTGCAAAAAGATAGTTCATGAAGAACACTATCAATGCTGCGCACCGGTGTAATCTCCTCGTAAGGGGTCCAATCCTTTATACGCATTGATTCGTTCACTGTAGCGTAGTATGCTCTTTGCCTGTCTCCAGCAAAACTTATGCCAACTCTGAAAGAATGAACATGAGGATATTGAAATGAAATAGCCGCAACAATGAAACTTAACATACACGAATGAGGTCACGAAGCGAATGGATTCGAGCTTGTAACCGCATTTTTTGGCGACAGTGTCCCTGACTCGTTGGTCGATATCCTCGACAGAACTGCCGGTTTTGTAATGCCCACTGCACATTTCCAGAGTATAAGCCCACTCCAATGGTTGTGATTTCCACTCAATCGTATCGAGCGTTTTGGTGGGATCGGCAAGATGAGCTAGATGACGTGCTCGACCAACCAAAGCAGCTTAAGGTGGAGATCATTAATTAGATGATCGAATTACGATCAGACTGTGAGAAAAATAATCGAAGGAATTGATCATTAAGTCAGATCGGAGATAAAAAATAAGAATGATATCGTGGGTCTCATACAGTAAAGGAGGGGGGGGGTGGGATGTGGGTACCCGACAGGAGGCCCGTCGCGCGGCAAGAAGGCAGAGTCAGCGGACGAGTCGCAGCGCGTGATGTGCGATGTAGGACGTACAATGGTACATTCTATTTAACTTGACGCGAAATCACTACAGTACGCGCTGCGACTCGTCCGCTGACTCTGCCTTCTTGCCGCGCGACGGGCCTCCTGTCGTGTCCGGGTGAATGTGGCGCAACAGTTCATATCGCCCAAAGTAGCACAATCTTTTGCAGGGAAGGTGAGCTCCGGAGTAGGATGAAAGCGAAAGGGAAATATTCCACGCAGTGAACCTCCTTCCTCTATAATAAATATTTCACGCAGTAGATCTCCTCCCTCTGTAGGAATTGGAATTTCGGTAGGCGGCAGCAACTGTCGCACTGCATGTCACCCCTTACTGGGTGAGACTCGACACCATTTTCATTATTTTATACATTTAGTATAGAAAAAGAACGTTTAAACTCAAAATACCTGGCCGAAACCGCTGTGTTAGCAACAATTCCTTGGTAGTCTCATTATACAAGAGAATCGAAAAACTGTCGTCACACAAAGCCAGATCCCAAGTTCGACAAAGAGAACCCTTGAAAGGAGGCCATGTAAGCAAAGCTTCTAACTGGATTGAAAAGTGTCTAGTGACCTACAAGTGTGAATTTCATCCGATGTGGAATAAATCGTTTTGATGATGGCATCTTCTCAAATTTGAAATCGGTCATAGGCATTATGTCGCTTGGCCTCCATTTATAAGCATCGGTCTGGAAAATTAGGAGCATTCAGATGGATTTCAATTCTGCACTGAGTTTGTGGCCTTACATGTTATTCACCGTTGGCTGAATTATCTTCGGGCACGGATTGTGATCGAACCACCAAAGTAAAGCGTAAAGCATCGATGGGGGACCGGGCAGTAGTCGTTTTTGACGAATTCCAGGGCTTCAGACTCGCTCAGAAAAACCTGAAAGACAAACAAATTGCTAATAAGAAATGAAAAATCAGCACATACATAAAACACGCATCAGAATTGCGGCGATTAGACATGAAAATGTCATGAAAATCTTAAAACATACAAAAAATAAGATTATATTCTTCGAGGTATTTATATTTTCACACAGGTTGTGGTTCGCTAAAGCAGAAAACGACCGTTTCCTCTTCCGTAGTGCAAAACTTTTTTCGCTACAGGAACCGCAGGTCCTTGGTGAATAGTGGTTGACCTGGAATTCCCGCAGCGCTAAAAGGTTCGTGCTGCGAAAAACGGAAAAACTGCGGCTGTCGGAGACACACCCCACCTGGCATGAACAACTCGTGGGATCCATCACATTTTCTCACTTACTTCAAAAGTTGCTCCAGGAACTTGGAAAAAAGAGCGGACAACTGCTACAATGTAAGCGAACCTTTGTAATGTATTCGCCTTCTTCATTGTTTCCTCCACCTTCAGTTATTTTCATGGAATCATCAATCTCTGTGTAATAGAGGTACTGTATCCCACCAGATTCATGAGCAGCAATACTGAAAATTCGAAAAAATGGACATATTAGATTCGAACTTTCGAAAAAGAAAGCACCAACGTACCTGAATGTGGCTATTAAATGAATATCCTCATTTTTGACGGCATAACCACATTCCTCTTCGATTTCTTCCTTCATTATATCAACTGTGGGAATATTCTAAAGGATAAGGTGTTGCTGAGTTCAGAAATTATCAAAATAAAAGCTAAATGTGACCTTATCGATCAAACCAGCGCACAACTCTAGAGTATACCCATGTTGGGCCTCATAGTCAGACCACCGAATTTCATCGAGCTTCTTACCAAAGTTCTCCGGTTGTCGTAAAATATGCCCCACAAGAACCGCTGAAGTAGATAGACAAAAACTAAGAAAAAGATTCAACCTAGGTAAAATATTGATCACCTGGTCGAAACTGCCTCACAAAAACGAACTTCTTCAACCCAGTGTGGTAAAGAAGTGTGGCCACACTGCAGTGTCGAAGTGCAAGATCGAAACTTCTTCTTTGATTATTCTAAACGAAAGGTAAGAAGTAAGTGGGTAACGGTAAGGGTTTGGTTCGCTAGAACAAAAACGACTTTTTCGTGTTTCGCAGCGCGAAACATTTTTCGCTGCGGGAACCTCAGGTCCACCGCTGATCATGAGTGGACCTGGAGTTCCCGCAGCGAAAAATGTTTCGCGCTGCAAAACGCAAAAAGTCGCTTTCTGTCCTAGTGAACCACACTCAGGATAAAAAAAACCTAACTTAAAAAAATCTTAAGTATATCCATCAAAAAAGCTCCACTTAAAGGTTGGAAAGTTATCCACTAACTTTTAGGGACGCTTAGTGGTGAGTTTTACTTCACCAACTCAACAATTAATAGGAAAATCACATGAATAATTGAAACATTTT